TTGTTTCACATTCGAGTACTTTTATTAGATATCCAAAAACGCGCAGCCCTTCAGCAAAATTGTCAACCCTCAGCGCAATTCGATAAATCCCTACATCTAACTCTATGCCAGCTGGCCCGGCCATCGCTGTTCAATTGCCGCTTGATTCGCGCATTCGTAATGGTCTCTTCGATTGAATGATTTTGCGTCAAAGCGTTGATAATGCAACGCTCGAGTGCACGCAAGCGTGATTGTGTTGCATCAACGGCATCAATTCAAGCGGTGTCCGTCGGCCATTGGCCATCAAAGCTACTACGTACATAACACAGCCATCATCAAGTGAAAAGTGGGGGGGCAACCGCCGTTGTACAAATACACTCGGAAATCCGGGCAATTCGTAGGTCATTGTTGATTTTATATCATAGCGCTGCCATGTTGCATGCTGCATGCTGGATGCGGCACGTTGCACACTTCACTGCGTCGCCGCCGATGCACGCACAATAAAAATTAGCGTGGTTTCCTATTTATACATAAAGCGGTCATATGTGTATGTACATATGTATGTCTAGTGAGCTGTTTGTTTGCGGTCCTAATCTGCACATGTGTGAATTTTGAATTTTTAGGCAATTTAATCTGGTACTTTACGGATACACGACTAAAAACAGAGTGCAGCGTAAGTACCTGGAAGTACAATTTTCTGTTGAAATTTAGTTTACAAATGTATGTATGTACATGTGCGTAACCTTCCATTTCAAATGTTTGTGGTCTTATTTTTTTTGGGTTTTCGAACTAATCGTTTTTCGCATGCTCGTGTGAGTTTTCCTAGTGTTCATCGAAAATCTGTAAATAAATAACATTCATTACAAATATTTGAAATGGCCTACTGCATGCGAATAACATAGTCTCTGACAAAATCTCTAAACCCTTAAGTACTGTCGTTGGTCTCTCAGAGCACGACAAAAATTTTAGATTAAAATTAATTCCCCACGAATAGCTTTCATCGAGTCTGCAATGATTTCGATTCCTGTAGCGAGCCATCGTGTGCGGTGACAAGAGCGCCTGGTCTGTGAGACCGACAACAGCATTGACGTATGTAACTATTTATTCGATTGTTTCGAGCAGTACTAATATTTGTAAATATTTTGATATGATTTATAACAAAAATATCTTGTAAATTTTTAGCATATTTCTCTTTTTGAAGTGAAACTTCTTTAGCGGCAATTGGTTGGTTGGGAGTAAATTGTCAAATTCAACGGAAATTGCAACGGATATGGTTGGGGATGAAACAAGTTTTTCTTGAGTGTATGTAGCATGGTACAAATTTAACAAAAACTTGCTAATAAAAGGTCAAAGAATAACACTTAGGAAAAGACCAATACAATAATGAAAGTAAAGGTGAGTACGTACATAGATAAAGAAAAGGATATAGGCAAATGTAAAAATAAAAACAAAAACAAAGATGCGTAAAGATAACGGCAAAAATGAACACCAAGGTAAAGATTAAAATAAAGGTAATTATAGAGAAAAGTATATATATAGAGACACAGAGCCTCAATCTGGGAACTATTTTCGGATTTTAGAGATGTTCGGGATTCTGGGGACTTGTCGAAATAATAATCGATATTTCAATCAGTTTTGTTATTGATAATTTTATCGATTTCGTTACCGACATTTTTATCGATATTGTTATCCATATTGCTATCGATATTTTCGGAACTTATCGATATAATAATCGATATTTTTTATCGATTTTGTTATCGAATTTGTTACCGATATTATTATCGATTATTTATCGATTTTTTTATCGATAGTTTTTATTAATTTTGTTATCGATATTTTTATCGCTTTTTAATCGGTTTTTGTTATCAATTTTGCTGTCGACTATTTATCGATATTTTTTATGGATTTTGATGCCAATATTGTTGATTTTACTGTCGAAATTTTTAATGCATGTGTCATCGATTTTGTTAACGATTTTGTTATCGATTATTTATCGTTTTAGTTATCGATTTTATTATCGATTATTTATCGAATTTTGTATCGATTTTTTTTATCGATTTTGTTATTGATATTTTTATCGATTTCAGTTCGATATTTTTATCGACTTTCTAGTAGATCTTTGTTGTGGATTATTTATCGATTTTGTTATCGATAACAAGAAAAATTTCTTACCAAAAACATTCCTTAGTGCTAGATTTTGTAACTGTGAGTTTTCAAGTGTACACTGAAAATTGTGTACACTCTTCATTTTGCCATTCAGGAAGTGTGAGAATGAGCTTCAATGGACAAAGTTGTGTATAATTCTCTACCGAAAAACTAACAGCATTTTATTCGGTAAGTTTTCGGCTGTCAGTTTTTTACTCGGTACACTGCATTTTCTAACAGTTCCAGAATCCAGACCCTGGTTTCAAGGCATTTTGAAAGTTCGCACGAGAGTTGTGGACCATTTCGAGATCGTTCGCGACTATTTAAGGACCATTTCGGCAAAAATTTGGGAATAATTTGGGATCATTTTGGGCCAAATAAGGGAGCTTTTCTGGACCATTTCAAGACTTGTTTGTGATCACACCCGGACTAGTTCTCCACTTCGTTCACCGTTTCGGAGCCTTTTATAGACTATTTCAGAACCATTTCGGGTTCATTTCGGGACCTGTTCAGGAGCATTATTGAGCTATTTCGAGACCATTTAGGAACTGGTTCAAGAAAATTTCGGGGCTAGTTTGAAATTATTTTGGGACTAATAAGGGACAATTTCGGGACCGCTTCTAGACCTATTCGAGATCAATTCAAGACAAGTTCAAGACATTTTCAGAACACTTCAGGACAATTATGGGACTAATCCTGAACTTTTCCCGAAATGGTTATGGAAATGTCAAAATGAAATCAAATTAATGTTTATTTTCTAGCCTTGCCTATTTACGTATGTAACCGAATCGCCTAATACTTTGCTAAGCCGTACATAGATGTTTACATCTAAAATTTCATAAGTACCTGGTACTCTTGCAAATTACTTGGTTCCTAAACTGTCAAATTTTTTACAAAAATTCTAAATTGTCAAAATGTATTTGCATATAAAACCCCTATTCATAAAAAGAAGCGGTGGTAATAAGCTCTCATGGAATTCGCACCTACATAAAGTTATTCAAATGATCTGAGCTTCAATCTGGACCTGTTGGAAGTTATGGAGACTAACTGAGACATCGACCCTATGTTGGTAAATTGGATGCAAGATAACACACGTTGCGTCTATGCAGGTCGAGTTCAGCAAATTACAGCGACTACCCTGAGCGGGTATCATTGGTGAAATGAGAACCACAGTATGCATTGCAGACGTTGCTATACTTACTTGTCTTCACTACACATTACAAGGTTTACAGCAAGGTGCCCCTGCACTCTAAGGGATATAGAAGAAGCGGATGGACCTCCGAATTCCAAGACTAAACTAAACGCATAAATGGAAGGTCTTCTTTCCCAAAAAACTACAATGATTGATCGAAACCCCGGAAAGGTGGATAGCATTGGTACTAGCATGGAGCAATTTAACTATGCCTTTCAGGCCGGAATGCAAGCCATAAGGCTGTATATCTGTGTTCATATGGAAAAGTAGCTTATGTCGAAAGGCTGGCTTTAGTATAAATCGGCATTCGCAGCATACGATTGCGAATGACTCACTGGCGCTAAGACGTTGAACAACTTTTGGCAAATAAACGTGGAAGAAATAGTTCCGATACTAGCAACGCAATATTCTTATTAAGTCTCATCAAAAAATTCCTTGCCGTTTAAAAAATAAAGGGATTGCCGCATTATACTAAAGCCAACCTTTCGACATAAGCTACTTTTCCATACGAACACAGATATACATATGAACATAAGTGTAAATATGGTGTGGACAGCATTTATATTTAAATAATTACCACGTCCAGAACCCGAGCTTACCTCATTTGGGTACCGATTGGCCATTGGCGAGCGCTTGGGTCTCTCGCCGAATATAGTTCATTGGCTTTATGAAACTAGGCCAGTTTTATTATATGGCGACTCGTCTGGGTAACTTACTAGACAAGCACTTCCTCGTCAATCAGCTGGAAGGAGTATTATAAAAAGCTTCGAACTCCTACCGACTCGATGAGACCACTGCACGCCGATTTTCATGCCGAAGGAATCTTTTACCACCCATATTCTAGTGAGAGAAGACTAGGCGGTTTACAGTATCTGAAATCGAAGTGGTGTAAATGTATTTACGGTAGGGTCGAAGCTGAATGGAAGAGGGAATGAGTTTTTTTCTGCGAGGAGCTCTGCATTGGCTCAAATTTAGGTTATCGAATCGCCGCAGCCTTTTCCAAGCAGGTTGCTCTCTAATCTAATACCTTTCAATGAGCTGAATATCTACTCCAGCAGCCAAGGAGCTATCAAGGCCCTTGGCTTCCTGATGGTTCATTCGAGTGTAACAGATTGTTCGCCCTCTTTATCGACGGCATCAGATAACTATGCTATGAAGGTTGTTTGGGTTCTGGCTCACAACGAAATCGCTGAAAACTGTATGGCTGATGAGCTGGAAAGACAGGGAATTAAGGAAATGCTTGCGGGTAGAGAAAATCTGGGTTCACCGCTGACTCATGTGGTCAACTCCTGGAGAGATGGGCGCTTGATCAGCTCAGCATGCGCTGCGCGAAGACCATGGAATGATAGGTGGGTAAAGCCTTCTGGCCACGTGTAGGCGGTCCGGAGTCCGGGAATCTTATCAAGCCCTGCTACTCTGCGAACCTGCGTTTTCGCGCCTGCTAAGGTTCCCGGTCTTTGGGTCCCACTTTTTGAGCACGGATCGATTTCCTTATATAGGTGTACATCCATGTTTAAGTGTGCCTCCCACGAAGGCGGCCCTCTAACCTAACCTAACATAACCTATATTAAAATACTAGCAAGAATATTCGGTTTATTCAAAGAACTATTCAACTGTTCTAAAACACACATTTTAACAAAATTTATAACATGTTTCTCGTATACTAGTCCCCTTTTTGCCATCTTCATTTGTTCATATTCAACAAGAGAGCCACCAAACTGTAGGTATTGTTCATAGTCTAAAACAGAAGCAAATACATATTTAGTACCTCGGATACGGCCAAAAATCAACACAGTAAAACCTTTGAAAAGACGACCAAACTGATATCGAAAAAGTTCCCAGCTCGCACACGCACCGGGCGCTGCAGCATTTCCATGTAAATTACCAAATATTTGCGTATTCGAGGCGAACATTGAGTCCAGTTGGAGCTGTAGATAGCATTATTCAAATCGCTGGAATACGTTATGATCTCATTACCGTAAAAACAAGGAATGAAAATCTGCAAAACCATAATGAGAACTGCTTCAAGGAGCGTTAAGAACTGCGATGGATTCTCCAACATATGAACCTGAGAGGGAAGTTAAGAATAAAATTAAAAAAAGGCGTCAGGCAGAGCATTGTACATTTCAGTTAGGTGCATACATAAAAGGGTTAAGTTAGAAATTAATCATTAAATTTCATTTTGTACACGACCCTGAAATTATCCTGAACTAGTACCAAAATTGAGCTGAAGTTGGTCTGAAAAAGTCATGAACTTGTCCCGAAATGACTTCGAACAACACTTCAAACAGTCCTGAATTGGTTTCTTACCAGTCAAAAAATGATTCCGAACTACTTAGTCCTGTAATGGTCCTGAAATAGTTTCAAGTAGTCAATAAGTAATACCGAAACCGTCGTGAAATAGTCGTGAAATGGTCCCGAAATGTTCCTGAAATTGCTACGAAATGGTACTGGAATAGTCGTGAACAGGTCTCGAAATGATCCCGAGCTAGTCCCGAAATGAGTCTTAAGTAGTCTTGTACGATTGAAAAGGTCGTGAGCTTGTCCCGAAATTGATCTCGAACAAGTCTTGATACGGTACCGTATTGATCCCTACAGTAGTCCTGAACTAGTCCCGAAATGTTTCAGAAATAGTCCTGGACTAGTCTCGAAAAGGTTCGGAACCAGTTACCAAAATGACCCTCAAATACTCGTGAACTAGTCCCGAACCAGGCACGAAATGGTCCTGAACATATCCCGAAATGATCCCGAACTAGTTCCGAAATTGCTCTAAACTACGCTCAAAATGTTTCTAAACTAGTGCCGAAATAGTCTTGAAAAACTCCTGAGCTAGTCCAGAATTTTCCGCTGGGTTAACTGGGAAAAGTAAAAACTAAAAAAATAGTCTTATAAAATTCAAAGTCTTACCTTTTGTAAGCGATAGGCGCTGAAGCACAGTACGAAGGATGAGCAAAAAATTTGTATGAGAAAGGGAAATGAGACGTACTTCTCACACTGCTGCGAAAGTCTACAAATAGAAAGTAATGATAAAACACTTTTCATTTATCAAAGCTTCTGCCGCCACTTACTCTCTGGTACGCACATGCAACGCCACAGCTCCAACAAAATCCGCATAAAACTTCTCCTCACTAAATCCATTCGACGCGCTGCTTTCCACGCGCACCTCACCCATTCGTTCCAAGCGTCCGCAAATCAATTTAAAACACAACGATAATTGCACCAACATATAGCACTGTATCATATCGAAAGCACAATTCGACAAACAGGTTATCGGCATTGCCAGCAATTCATAGCAGTAAGCATACCAATAACCACGCTCCGTGCGCCAATCGAATGGCGGCGCATATGGAAATGGCAGCTCATAGTTGGCGCTGATCAGCACTCCCACAAAAGCTGTACTCACTGCAGTCAGTGCCATGGCGAAGTACAATAGTGCGATCCAACCGTAATGCCTTTGTTCACGTGCCCAACTCAGTTGTTCCTCTATGCTCAGCTGCTGGAACAAAGCATCCTTCGTGAGTGCCGCAAAGAAGTCTACCAACAGTTGGCCATAGTACCAGACATTAACCAGCTTCGCTAGTAATGCCAACTCGGTGAGTGTCATGTACATGGTGTTGCTGAATTTCTCCAGATCCGAAGCATGAAACACATCCATGCACATCATAATCGTGTAAGGGATGGTCAAGGTGAAATGCAGCAGTAACGAGTAGAGGGTATAGGGCGTATTTATGGCTCCCTCATAGCGCCAAAGACCCATAAGCTGCAACACTTTGATGACCCCACGTCCGCCGGCTAAGTTGTCGTACTTCTGGAGATCCATTGCGAAGAACTGCAGATAGCTAACTGCTTAGTTTGAAAAAACTCTTGAGTTTTTAAGTAATTTTTTGTTTGATTATGATTTCATAATACCATGGCGAATTCGCCTTGCATAATTCATTGGATTGAATTAAAAATTAGTTTCCGTAAGCCAATATGAACGAGGAAAGCAAAGTTTACTTTTAAAGAAATATGCAAAGAAAAACTTCTCGCTAATTATAAGGAGAAGGTAAATTCAATAATTTCAATGAAAAACGTTTCGTGACAACTCCAGATAATTGCTACCGAGGTAATCAATTAAAAACTTTTGTTTGTGC